TGCTAGGGGGCAAAGGCACAGTGCAGCGCCCACTTTCAATGTGCACTCTATGGAAACAGAAATGGAAAGAAACAGCTTAATGATATGAGAACATATTTAAAAATAAGAGAGAATATGAGAAAACGGTTGCAGTTACCTGGGGTTACAAAGAGAGTAGCTGGAACTCTCATTTGCAATCTCAACGGTGCACTTGCGTTGTGTCGGTATTATTTTAGCAATTGCTGATCCGATTGAAAGTCCTGTGTCTGTAACCGAACTTACAATGTCCAAACCTTCGAAGACATCCATATCTGCAGTGTGAACACCTGCTCAAATAGACAGCACAGATTTGTAAATGAGGCCATCTTTGATTGTAGTTCAGAGGTTTCCTGAAAAGCCACATATACGTTTTCTGTTTCTGTTTTTTTATTATTATTATTTAAATAGAGCATATAAGCACTCACCTACTTCTGTAAGTCCTTCAGGTGTGTTCAGAGTTGTCAATGTGCACACGTCAGATCAACCAGTTCCAACCTGCAGAAATAATGTAAGTTCAACGATGTACTTTTTGAAATATTGTCCTGAATGATCCACATGCAACACAAACATTGAGATTCCCACAATTAGGTAAAACAATATTGTACAGGCCCATCATTTCTTAATAATTTACTGCTAGCGATGATGTAATTTGATGCTAATTATGTGAAAAATATAGACAGTGTTCAATTGGCAGATGTAGAATTAATCAATTTCTACTGTAAAATCTGAATGCATGAATATGAAATCTGTCAACAGGCAAGCATATAAAAGAAAATAGAGAATAAAGTTTCCAATACTAAAGAATTAATGGATGAATATATATATATAAAATTAGTTTTTTGTTTTTTTATTATTTATGTTTTCCCTATAATATATAATTAGTATCAAATTACAGTGATATCCAAGAAAAGTCCTTGAAAATGAACTATTCAGCGATTATGGACCCATACAATACATATTTACCTAATCTTTATAAATAACATGTTAAACTGTACAGCAATCAAATTTTTGAAATCCTAAGAAAATATGGAGTTTGATAACATAGCTAGCAGCAGCGCAGAGAAAATACCTTGCTTCTAAGCTTGCAAGAAACATTATGTTGTGATCAGAAGTCATGTCCTCAAACCTACCTCGATGTTCTTGCCTGGGATAAGCAGCTGAAAGCTCTGGTTGTCATCACTGGTTGTTGTCTTATACTGGTGATGGAGGGAAAAACCTGTTCCTCCAGGAATCTCCATCCAGACAAGTTGGATACTAATTTACAGTTAATTGTAAACACCCACCTATATTCTGCTACGCTCAATGCAAAATATGCTGCAGGCACATGCAGTGACACCTGTTAGAGCTCTGCTGTGTGTGGGCTGTATGTGTGTGTCAACCTCTAGCCCAGTAGCATGGTGTTTCCAGAGGAATATGACTCCACTCGTCTAGATGACTTAGAGGGTGTTATTATGAGAAAAAAAGGTGTGACAATTAATTAATTTGGAAAGTCCCCATTGTTTCTACCGTATTTCCTATAACAGACATGGATATATGCCAGTAAATGAAACCAATTATGCTGGATGTAAGTTTTGGGGATTCGGGGAAACCGATTTGAATGATAAAAATATAATAGAAGATTGAACACACAAACTAACTTATCATGTCAAGTATCAAGTATTTATTTTATTTCAATTGCAATACAGCTTCTGTAACAATAATAACTATATATTTATGCTAAAATATGCCAATGTATGAAGACAAGTCAATTACCCTAGAAGTTCTAGAAGTTGGTTGCCGTAGTGACTATACTTGCACTAGCTAGCTGGCAGGGCTCTTGCTAGTCAGTTGCAATATTCTTTCTGTGTTTTGGTTCTTCTTGTGTCTTCTGTGTCTAAAAAATGTTGCAGTTTGGCTAATGTATAACTTGCATTTATAATCAGTTGCAACAGTGTAAAGAGAAATAAAACCTACTATTCATTCTCTTGATGATGTTATCTACTATTCAAGTATACTTGGCCCCTTTTGTTACAAGTATCCCTAATATCATTCCAAGTTAAATTAAAGCATCAAGCAGCGATGATTGGCCAAAATTTAGCACCACGGATACACCCATCAAAGAAAACTCAAGCTTGAATAACCTTTGATCGTGATTGTCTTTAGAGTTGAATGACCAAATTTGAAGTTTATCCGATCAATTCCCTACAAAGAGTTTGTTAAAATACAACACGAAATATGGATCCAGGAGGCTTTTTTGCTTGCCTGGGCATGATACACGTGTGTACAAATGTTCATATATGTTGGTCACAACGCTAGGTGAGTGACAAAGTATTTTAAAAGTCTTGTTTTCTACAATATCTGCTTATTACAGTATGGGTGTGGTTATGTAAAGGTAATGGTTACGGCAAATAAACTATGGCTTTGGAAAAAAAAAAAACAGACGATTTTACTAACTAACAGACAAATTATGTCACCAACAAATTCCACAAAAACAACAAAGCTGTATAGAGATGGACACCGGGATGGAAAAAATATTTTACTCAAGAAAACATACTCTTAAAATTAGTTGTTTCAAAATGTACTTAAAAGTAGATCAGTTAAGATGTACTACTATTGAATATGGTTTATCATGACTTTTTTTTACTTTGAACTTCAACTTTATTTCCAGCCCTGATGAGCCATTATTAACTCTTTTCAGTTTTCGCTCACTTGCACCATCATGATGGGTTGGAAGGAGTCTGACATTGTTGCCCTGATGGTTACGTGATGACCCTTATAAGTTAGACTGGGGCCCTTTGCTTTACCTCTGACAAAGGTTTTGTCATTCTCATAATACATCTTACAATAAAGATCATAATCGCACTCTTTGTAGTTGGGAAAGATTCCCAGTGCGTACCAGTTGGAGTACAGGTTAAAATCATAGGGCACAGAGTACATGACAGCTATTTTCTCACTGATGTTCTTTGTGCGTGTGTTGAGGAGATCATAAGTGAAGACGCCAACAGCTCCTCGAGCTGCTCCTTGCGTCTTGGTGAACAATCCATTCCCAGATGCGCCAGAGGCAATAGTCGGTGGCACACATCCACTTCCACTTTTAGTGTAGACACTGTTCATAGGGGCAATAAAAAAATCCTTGATGATTGATTTGATTGATTTGATTTGAGGACATTTGAGGATAATTTATTTCAGTTAGTTGTTACCTGACGTTAGACAGAGTGTAGGTACTGCATCCATTCGCAATCTCAACTTTGCACTGGCGATGTGTTGGAATCAGCGGAGCAACCGAACTAACAGCTCCGACCGCAGCGAAGGCCATGATGGCAGTGCAACAGATAGACCTGTTCAGACACAAAGGTGAAATGTCTTTTTTTTTGCCATTGGAAGCAAAACATTTTTTCACCCCTCAGCCCTCATAGAATGGACATGAACAGGAGGCAAATATACGCGAGTGTTGAATGTCCATAAAAACTCCTCACATATCAAATGTTAATACAAATGTATTTAAATGAAAAATAGACGCCTTTTATTGTGGAAACTGAAAACTCAGCTCTTCTAGTGCAGGTGAGAGTTGGCAGTTAAATGGCAGGCAGTGTTGATAATCCATCTGTCGACACAGCTCAAAACACATGAACAAAAACAGGATCATTCAGGGAAAAACAGGTTTATCTGGAAATGTCCCTCGTACATACATATACATCACAATATATAAAAAGAGATATACAATAATTACAACTCTAAAGAAGATTCTTTTAGATCTGCATATTCATTATTTCTTTATGAGTACCCAAGGGTTAGGGTTACAGACAGGAGATTCAGTGGTCCAGAGTTGAAAACAAGATGCATTCACTCTGGACATGAGGCAAGCAGCCGTTCATTAAACAGTAAATACCTAAATCTGAAGACAACTGTTGTACTTTAAATTCAAAGAGAATCTTTTTAATTCATTTCAAATTAGCAAATAAAACTCCTTTGGGTTGAATGACCCACATATCACACAAACACCGAGATTAAAAGAAATGTAAAATGAAATGTGCCTTTTACCTAAAAAGTATGCAATTTGGTTGTAATTATGTGTCAAATATTAGACACTGTTTGAAAAAAGTTAACTGGATATCTACCAAATACAACATTTTTAGTGTATCCTCAATAGCTTTTTAGTGCACAGCGGGTCATCTGAGCATGCATAAATGTGAAATCTGTCAACAGGCAAGGATATGATTAAACAAATGGAGAATAAAGTTTCTAATATTACAGTAGTAATACTTAATACTTAATAGAAAATTGGGATTTCTTTTTCAAAATTCCTGGTTTCCATATCATTAGTACCAAATGACATGGTTCTATCCAAGAAATGTCCTTAAAATGATTAGGAAATGATTCAGCAATGATAGACCCATATAATAAATATTTACCCATTACTAATAATTAACATGTTCATCAACAGTAAAGCAATCCAGAATATTTGAAATTTGAAAGCAGCTTGCTTAGGTTTTGGTAAGAAACATTATGCTGTAATTAGAAGGTCATGGTACAGAGTCATGTACTCAGGCGTACCTGGTTGTTTTTCCCTGGTATGAACACCTGTGAGGGACAGCTGAAAGCTCTGACTGTCAGCCTTGGTTGGCTTCTTATACTGGTTATGGAGGGAATCACACACAAACATTTCATTCATACTTTACATACTGTACTCTGTTCTGCTGAATAGAAAATGTGCAGTGAAACCTGTTAGCGCTGCAATAGCTTCAGTGTGTCGGCTGTATGTGTGTGACAACAACAAGCCAAGATTTTATGCATATTGTGCTGTGGTGTGTTCTTTACACTATGACAGTTTTGTTCAAATTACATTTACATTTGTTTACAGTATCACAATATGTCGCAATATACTGAATTGTAACCCATGTATCATGAGATTAATCATATCTCCAGATTCGTGCAAATATACAGCCCTAAGGCCTATGCTCTTCTGTGTCATTAGGCATAGTTTTGCTGGCCATCAGGACCACCGGGACAAATCCTGGTGGGACACTCGCTCAATTATACAAAAGAAAGAGTGAGAAAGATGCGTTATCGTTGCAAAGTCACTTGCAAAACAGCTGCTGGTAAGGCATTGAAAGCCATAGTTTGTGCAGGACATTGCAAAGAGAAACTCAGCGTCCCCTCAGTAGCAGAGCTTACCCTCACGCCAGGAAAAAACGCTTAAAAATGACCGTAAGCTCCACCCAGCTTACTTTCAGTTTTCTTGAATATAAAGGTAATGGAGGACAGAAAGAGAACAGACACACTGTAAAAAATAATAAAAATGCTATTTTTATGGTAGAAATCTGTGGTTGCCAGAAATTTACCATAATAAATAGTTTATTATATACATAAACTACTTTATTCCATATAAATTCCTTTAAAATGCTGTATAAATAAAGCCCTGAGATATCACAATGTTTTACTGTTACAGAAATGTTCCCCTTTTCGAGTTTACTGTCATTTATTGTCATTGTTCAACAGTTTTTTACCTAAAGTCTTTTACAGTGCATTGTCACTCACACTTTTTTTACATGCATTCTATGCATTCAAACTCTTGGCAAAGATCCCCTCCAAACATGTTTTAAGAAACAATAAACCGTCTGCACTGCTTAGAATAATAGTTTGTGTCTGACATTTTTTTCCCACAAAAACTTTCAATTACCCTAAATTTCCATTCTTTCTCTCTCATTTCTCCCTCCTTACCTTCTGTGCATGGAAACCTACCTTTTGACCACAGTGGAAAGTGTCATTAGGCAGGGAACAGCAACATCAGTAAGAAACACATTCTTATATCACTCTTCCTTTAAGGCATTGCGAAACATACTGTCTCTTTAACCATATAAATACTAATAACAAAACTTGCAAATATGCATAAATAGGTTTTACTACAGTGAAAAATAAAGACACAGCCAGACCCGGGACCAAACACATTCACAGAGACCGGACTGCAGCTGCTGCCACTGTACAGTCACATATAAAGGCCATTAGTACAACAGGATGTGTGACTTGGTAATATATGTAGATTATGCAACATATCTAGTAAACAGAGGTTGCTCTACTTTTTTGAGGTACTTTTATTTTTTTTTAATTAATTTGTCGTATAGCATTTAGTATGATATCAATAAATAGACTTAACTGGAATCCCCTACATTACTTGTTACGGAAAAAACATATCACATTACTGTAATACATTAATGCCCTACTAATCAGGCACAAGAATTAGACATACAGTTTTATTTAGATCATACCATATCAAAACATAAGTAACCGTAGGACATGTTTCGTATATAGGTCTAGACTGTACTCATTATAAAGTAAATTATAATTAAAATTCTATATTCTTTTTGTTATGGCAGCAACTGTAGACATCCTGTCCTGTCTGATTCAGTGATGTAATTTACTCTTTCTATAAATATTACAATTTGAGAATGACTTCCACAAAAGGACTGACTTTGCAAATTTATTGACATTTTGAGATTTACACTGACACAATGTTCAAAACAATGCATGTGTTACCATGAGTCATGTTTTTTACCATCATCTGCTCTACAATAGTTACTATATATTACAGTTTCTATAACACAGAAGCAATGAAATGCCAAGGCAAAATATAAATCCATTCTTGCCATCAGCCATTGGGTGACAGCAAGAGACATTTCAGCACTGCTCTAATTTCAGTTGTCTTTGACCTCCACCTGCAGGACAGGTTGGAAAGTGTCAGTCATTGTTGCTGTGATGGTGACATTATCTTTCTTGTACTCAATATTTTGGCCTGCTTTTTTCCTTTCAAACGTGCCTGTGTTGTTGTACATCTGATAATAAAGATCATGATCACATAACACACTCTGATCAAAGATTCCCACTGCGTACCAGTTGGAGTACAGGTTGTAATCATAGGGCACAGAGAACATGACAGCTATCTTCTCAGTGGATGCATTTGCAGATTGGTTGAGGAGGTTGTAAGTGAAGACGGCAACAGCTCCTCGAGCAGTGTTGGGAGTCTTGGTGAACAGAGCATTCCCAGTTTTAGACGGGTCGATGGTAAGCGGCAAAGGTTCAGTGCAGGAGCCACTGTCAGTGTGTAAACTAGAAAGAGTATTGAGAATTATAAGTAAATGCAAAGTAAAGTTACTTTGATGAAAGAGATAAAAATAAATTGCACTCACCTGAGGTTACACAGAGAGTAGTTAGAGCATTTATTTGTCATCAGAATGGAGCACTGGCGATGCGTTGGAATGAGTCCAGCAACTTCAACTCCGACTGTCAGTGCTGCGTCAACAGCAAGGTTGCAAGCCATAATAGCTGTGCGACAGGACCACCTATTCAGACAGACAGGGCAAAACATTTTATGATCATAGTTCTGTTGTTCATTTCACAGGCAGGTTTTCCACACAAACAAAGGAGGAGAGAGAAGAAGCTGTCCTGTCAGTATTTAAATTCATCCATGCTTACCTGGGACAAAGGCTCCTGAAGGACGGCTGCGAGCTCTGGCAGTAAGGCTTTTAGGCAGTCTCCTTATAAAGGTGATGGAGGATGGAATAGAACAATGATGGGCTGCACCCCTTTGTGTAGGACCCTCCTTCCAAACACACCTCCTATCATTAAACGGTGGGGTGAGCAGAAGTCGCATGTTACAAATTTAACTCTATCACCCACACACACACACAAATGGAAATGGAAATAAATCTAATGAACGTGTCATTGAACATGTATTCAGGTCAACCTGTGAACCAAGTTGCTGTGGGAACATTAAATCATACTGATGTGTCAGCCTTTTAACAAAAAGAAAGCAAAACTGTAATGTGGATGTGTGGCTGTTTACTAGGACATTGTTGATATTAAAATGACTTAGTGATCACTTAGTAAGATAAATTAACTTTATAACAAGAGGCAGGGTGATTGCCATGTTGGACGTTGCAGACAAGAATGGCTGATTACAGCTGTCTTCCTTCATAAATATTGTATACTTTATCTGACTGACCCTAGGCTTCATGTATGCCCCCACACTTATTTAATAATGACCACTTTCATTCATTTTAATGCTTTTATTCAAACTTTACGCATGTTCCAGGTCATGATAGTTACAGGAACATATCGCTTTCTCATTCATATCCAGGCCCCAGCAGCTCCCCAAACCCACCAGGTTCGCCTTAAGAGACATCCAAACAAGCCTCACCTGCCACAAAATGCCATTTGATCACACATTGCCACAGACTTTCATTAGCACACAAATGGATGTTCTTGTTTTCTGAAGGCCGGTTCTATGTTTTTGAAACAAATGTTAATTTAGAAATCACATCAGTCAGTTTTGACCTGAAACAGATACCGCTAAAGTATGGGTGACGCTCGCTGAGATCCAGGGTGCAAACTACAGGGGAGCTTGGGGGAGCCCTGGGGAGCTTGGCTCCTCTTAATAAGACATGAGCTTCCCTGAAAACATGACTTGTGAAATTTTGGTGGGTCTCTAAAATACTGAGTATGAGCCCCTCCAGGATTTACCTTTTTTGGGATTGTTGCAGCCTAAAATGTCTGATTTCACGGCAGCCGTTCTAGAAAATTGCATGTGTTTTTTGCATTGAATTTGATGGAGAAAGTGAAAATTGCTTAAATAGTTGTGTATCTTTTGTATAATTAATTAAAAATGAAGGCAACTTGCCGTGCAGAATTCAATGCAATTCAATTCAATTCAATTTTACACAGGGATTGGTTTCATTTGCTTTCGATCACAGCTTCCTATAGGGACTGCTATTTCTGCCATGCATTTCTATTTTCCTACATCTTCATCATCATGGATTAAGCGTGAATTTAGGCTACATTGATGTATGATTTGTGTGACTGTCATCACTAAATCACTTTAAGAAAGATACCGATATTCTTGCCACCAGCACAATATCATTTATTTCAGATCAGTAGAAAAAGTGAGCTCACTGCTGGGATTTTTTAATCAGTTATCTTCCTTCTTGCCTAGTTTTTACAGATCTTCAGCTGCAGTGGAAATACAACAGGACTGTGCAAAAGTGACCTTTTAGTTTCCACTTTGGTTCCTGAGTTTATTTCCTGTGGTTGTATAGTTCCTGTAACTGACACACACACACTTTTCACACACTTTACAGAACAGTACAGTTGTGGTGTAAAACTGAGTAGCTGCAAAGTGACCTTCAACGTGTAAAAAACAATAACCAGGGTTTGGCGATGCTGCACGTTCAGCACTAAATGAAAAACAAAACCAAAAGAAGACACGTCTAATCAAAGCACAGTGAGCTGACCACGGTTACCATACAGGAACAATTTACTTTCTTTTTGATCGTAAGTTTAAATACAGCCATTAATGCTTGCCTTCTTAAATGAACTACCCACACACTGTGCCTCTAAAGTAAAGCCATTTTGAGTATTTCCTTATTAAACTCTTTGACGCGGCAAATAAACTCATGTGTCCCAGTATCTGTCATCGTGTTGGACATCAACAGTAGATTTCTCCCACTCTCACAAATATATTTGTTATATTGTAACCAGAAATGGTTCTAAAAGGTAACGTCGTTAGCATCTTTGGTGTAACATAGTTACAGGGGTAATTTTGTTACTTTAGTCAGCCAAAGTGTGTAGATAAACTCAGGTTGCAGTATAATTGTTGCTGTGTGTTGTGTTTGCCACAGAAAAGAAATAAGAAGTGTCTTTTTATGTAACGTTACTTCAGCTTCTTCTTGTACTCTTCATAGCAAACTGTAAAAAGCTAACACTAGCTAGTGTATGAGTCAGGCTAAAGACAATAAAACTCTTTGGGTTTTTTGTTTTTTTAAATCACAAGGTAACACACAGGTGCAGCTGAGGATGTGCTAACCAGAGATGGAGGAAGTATTCAGGTCCAAAGTACTTACACCGACGACACGTTGAAAATGCCCCACTACAAATACTGCATTCTAAACCTTACTAGGGTAAAAAGTAAAGTGTTATAGCAAAATGTACCTAAAGAAATCATTGTACAGTAAAATAATCCCTGTTAGTGTTTTACGTTTTATTATATATGATGTTTATGGATTAATGTTACTGTCGCATTCATGTTGCATTGTACTGCTGGATTAAGGTTGTGCAAATTTTTTATAAACTATACCTTTTTAGTATACCGTATATAGTTTTATATTTATATATATATTATATATATTTGTTTTGGCTTCGGTGCCCCGCATTTTGAATTCATCAAGTGGCCTAAAAATAACTTAATTCCAGGCCTGTAACAAGGTAACCAGAGAGAAGACATCCGTGGCAGAAGTTGATGGTGATGATGAGACAGGTATGCTGTCTCGGTGCCAAGATGTCAAGTGTGTAAAACTCAACATAATGATGCCTTCAAAGCACAATTTAAGTCATGACGGAAGAATTTATTTTTTGTTGGCAAACCTGTTTTCCAGCTAATAAACTAAAGATCATAATTATACAAGATTGCTGGCATTCCACTAACCTCTAGCAGCCAACACACCTTGTATATTTGTATGTATTCAAGTACAGTAGCATCTGATCAAATCTGTAAAAAAAGCAGACCACCCTGTCTTTTCTGTTTCAATAATAATACAGGTTACACAACTACTACTAATACTACTTTCATGTTACAAATGGTTGAGAATGACCACACCCACAAAAAGACTAAGTTTGCAGATTTATTGAGTTGTTTTATTGTGAATAACATCTGATAAAGCCAAAAAGCAGGAAGTAAAAATTATGCTGAAATCACAGTACATGTAAGCCATCATATCCATCATTTCACTACAGTTACTACACATTACAGTTTTTTTTAACACAGAGTGCACAGTGGATATCACCAATATACTGGAGCAATACACACTTCTTAATTCTTCATGCTAAAAAAAATCATCAAAATTACACTGTGTAACTATGAGCCACTGGCATAAAATCACCTCTCAATTCAATAAAAAACAAAGCAGAATATTGTTAGAAATTCGCAAATGTGCCATGTGTTGACTGCAGGAGAATCTACACTACATCACTTCTCAGTTGTCTTATTTCAATTGTCTTTGACCTCCACATGCATGACAGGTTGGAAAGTGTCAGTCATTGTTGCTATGATGGTAACATTATCTTTCCTATACTCAATACTTTGGCCCCCTTTTTTCCTTTCAAACGTGCCTGTGTTGTTGTACATCTGATAATAAAGATCATGATCACATAACACACTCTTATCAAAGATTCCCACTGCGTACCAGTTGGAGTACAGGTTGTAATCATAGGGCACAGAGAACATGACAGCTATCTTCTCAGTGGATGCATTTGCAGATTGGTTGAGGAGGTTGTAAGTGAAGACGCCAACAGCTCCTCGAGCAGTGTTGGGAGTCTTGGTGAACAGAGCATTCCCAGTTTTAGACGGGTCGATGGATGTCGCCCGGCAAAGGTTCAGTGCAGGAGCCACTGTCAGTGTGTAAACTAGAGATAGTGAAAGAATGTTAATAAATTGTGTCTCTGCATGGAAAACATATTTCAATGAAGGACAGATCACAGATCACAGATCAGTTGAAGTTACCTGGGGTTACGGAGGGTGTAGTTAGAGCATTTATTTGTAATCTCAATGGAACACTGGCGGTGTGTTGGAATGAGTCCAGCAGCATTACCACCGACTGAAATTGCTGCATCAAGAACATCGCTGACAGAACACACTGTTTCCGCAAAGGCTGTAAACTTGCCTTTAGGCATAATGGCTGTGCAACAAGATGACCTGTTCAGACAGACAAAGCACACAACAAACCCTTCATTTAAGTTCATTAAAGTTTTCTGCTTTTAGATGAAGTTGGCAGATGCAAAAATTGCTCATGTTCCAGATAAATACTGGAGCATTTTCCTCTTGGTCCAGTCAGAGTAAGAGGTCATTATTTCATTCAAATGCAGCAATGCTTACCTGGAATGAACGCTTCTGAAGGACGACTGCAAGCTCTGGCTGTAAGGCTTTTAGGCAGTCTCCTTATAAAGGTGATGATGGACAGATGAGAAAGGCTGCACCTGTTTGTGTAGGACCCTCCTTCCAAACAAGAGCCTTCATTATTTCATATCAGTAAAAATGAAAGTAAAAAACGTGTCATTGAACATGTTTTTGACCAGACTGGCTGCGACAGTGCTATACCACTGTCATGTTTCAACCTTTAAACAAACAGAAAATTGTCAAAGCAAAACTGCGACTGCTTGATTTTCCACTGGAGCTTATCTAAAATTCCAGGTTATATTAATATTATATAAATCAGTGTATTTGTACCTTTAAGATGTAAGGACAAATGGTCACATTTATGGTGGCCCTGAGAGATATATTTGCAGCATAAATATTGGTATTATTTATATTGTATTTGCAGCTTACTCTAATCACAGTTACTGTCAAATGAATACATCTCATTGTGATGTCATAGTGGAAAGTTCATACCCAACTGTGATATGTGAGACTAAGGCTGCATTCACATTGCAAGTCTTAGCACACAATTCTACTAAGTTACAGTAGGTTTATTTGAAATTAATGAAATGGAAATGTACCAAATGAACACAGTCTCTAGTTTACCTCCAAAAGCTGAAAATTACACAGGTCTTTTAAAGAAATTACTGGGAATGTACAGACCTGTAAAATAAGGCAATATAACATAGTACATAAGTAACACAATCAGACATTGTTCAAAACCTAAAATAATAGCACTGTCTTCTCTTCCTGCTTCATGTGTGTACCCTGTCACCATTAGGTAAATGCTGTTTTTGGTTTTATATAAATATGTACAATGTGTCTACTCTGTGATTTCCATATCTGCTTTATACTTAATCCCTCTGTAGAAGCCCCTCATAGTGAGGGTGTCTGAGGAAATGAAAACAGCCAACAACCCCTTCCACTTTTTTTGCAATTTCCAACTAATTCTATCATGAGAATGAATTAAATGCGGTGTAGACACACTGTCTTAGGTCAGTGTACACTGCGGCCAACAATTTTCCGTTTGGAAATGAGTAACATCAAAATTGGGAAACAAGCTGTTTCCCGGATAATTTATTAAATAGGGACGTTTTGTAATGAATGAATGAATAAATGAATAAAGTCTATTTATAATTCTTTTAGCTTCTCGCTCACCAACACAGTGAGGTGTTTTTGGAGATATGGAGATTTTCAAAAGAATTAAAACTCATCTAGGCACTTATTATCCCATCAGACAGTTATCCCAGTCAGTTATCCCAGTCAGAGTATGTGAGTGAACTGTAATTATATGACTGGCGCTGTAAAGTTAAAGTACAATAGTAGATGTAATTTGGTTTTAGCTCTTGATTATACATCAAGAGATCATATAGATAGATTTTAATCATTTAATTACTTTTTTTAATTTTTGACTTCTCCACTGCTTTCAATACTATCCAGCTGTCACTGCTCAGAGTGAAGATAGAAAGTGTGGGAGTGGACCAACAACTGGCTGCATGGACAATAGACTATCTCACCAACAGACCACAGTATGTGAGGCTCCAACACTGTGTGTCTGACGTTGTGCTCTGCAACACAGGTGCCCCTCCCTTCCTCTTCACCCTTTACACCTCGGACTTTCAACCACAATTCCACGCTCTGCCATATCCAGAAGTTCTCA